TATATATGCATAAAAGTCCCCCACTTCCTGTTAGTGTCTGAAATGATGACCATGTTCATGACTTCTTGCTTGTACCAGTCATTTTTGTTTGTTACGAATGTAAGCTGGTTTCTAAAATACAGAATTCTAATTTTTACATGAATAGAATCTTATTATTTACAATGCTTTATACCTTGATTTTTCTCACTGTTACATATCACTGCTTTTTGTCCTTTCCATAGCTGTGGAGTACTTTACTATGCAAGGTAAGACTCTTGATATTTTACCAGTACAAGCCAATGATGCTTCTTCGGTATTTTGCTATTAACACCAATGCTGTAATAAATAACATCTATCAGTAAGATGTTCTAATAAAGAAAACGAAGATAAGATTTTGGTGTTCTTTGCTAAGTTACCTCCAAAAAGGTAAGGTCAGTTGAAATGCCACAAATAACACTTCAGTTCGTTCTTTCTTTCTTTCTTTCTTTCTTTCTTTCTTTCTTTCTTTTTTTGGTGGAACTGGGGATTGAACTCAGATCCTTGAGTTTGCCAGTCAAGCACTTATCCTACTGAGCCATCTCCCCAGCCCCTTGCTTCAGTTCTTATACTCTTACAATAATTGCATATACTTTAACACTGGAACATTTCCATACTGATAAGTAGACAGTTGCATTTTTAAATTTTGTATTTCTTCAATTCATCTTTCTTATGTGCTTGGTTATTTAACATCTGCATAAAATGTTCTTTTATTTTGTTACTTCATTTCTACTTCTAAAAATTATCTTGATATTTAAAATATCAGTACCTCATCCTAGATAACTTTTGCAAATATCCTTTTTGGCTTATTGTTTGTATTACTGTACTTTTTATTTTACCTTTCTCCTTGTACATTCTTTTCATTGTTGTCTTTTTGAGACAGGGTTTCACTATGCAGTTCAGGCTGGCCTTGGACTCACTTTGTAGCCCAAGCTGGCCTTGAATTCAGACTGATCCTCCTGCCTCAGCCTCCTAAAGGCTTGGGATTATAGGCATGCCCTACCATACCTGACTTGTACATTCTTTCTGGCTACGGAACACTTTAAAATATCTTTAGAGCCATACTTATTATTCCTTTGGATTTTTAAATCTTGTTTCACCTTTCCTTCTTCAATATGTTTAACAAATTTTCACAGTAGTTTGACAATAGTTTAATTTTTATCCATATAACCTTTAATCTACTGGAATATATCTTGATGTTTGATGTGAGAATCAAATGAATATTCACTGTCTTTGCAACCTAGCTATCTATGTATCTATCCATCCATCCATCCATCCATCCATCCATCCATCCATCCATCCATCGTCTATTTATTGAAGATAGGGTCTCGCTTTGTAGCGCAGGCTGGTCTCAAACTCGCCGTGTGGCTCAGGCTGGCCTTGAATGGGCAGCGATCCTTGTGCCTCGGCCTCCTGAGTGCTGGGATTACACTGTGTGCCACCACACCTGCCTCAAATCGTTCCATGGTAGAATAAAACTTCTCCATCTTTCTTCCTATTCTCACTCTGAGTTTTCCTGTTCCATGCTACAGGCGCAGTGCGTCGGAAAGGGGAGGACAAAGGCCACGCGCCACAGAGCATGGCGTTTGGGCATCAAGTCCACCAGTCATCTCTGTGTAACTGGGGAAAAGGAGTTAATTCTCTCGAATTTCAGCCTTCTCATCTGTAAAATGAGTACAAGACCGATCCACCTCCCAGCTTGTTGTAGCTACAAATAGGAATTCAAATAGTATCTATTATTGTTCTTATTTTTCAAAGAGTTGTGAATATAAATGATGTTTAAAAAATTTATCAGAAATATAGGATATGAGTTATTTCATTTTTTCAAGGAACAAAGAATTCATGCATTAAAAGATGCATCTACCCAGCATTTAAAACAGTTAGAAATGATAGCCTTGGGGAAGGGACAGGCCCAAGTCATTTCTGACTTACCAGCATAGGTCACCTCTGGCCCAACCAGAGTTCTATCTGCTACAACAAGAGTGCCCCAGTATGTGCTCCTGCTTCTTTCCACCAGACCAGTAATAACAGGACCTTGTTCAGCTTATGCCTAGCCCTGGCTGGAGATCTGCCTCTGTGGAGTCCTGCTGCTGCTGCTGCTAACCTGGATGACGTCACGCTGTGCTTGTCACCGCTGGCTTTCCTCTTCGCGGTTGTCAACATGCCCTTCCCATATTCCAAGCTTTTCAGGGTCACTTTCATTTGTATTTCTATCTCTGAGACCCGAGTTTTTATCAGTAAACTGTGCTTAAGCAACATTTTCAGAACTACTCACAGGTCATATCATTGATATGTCATTTTAAAATGTCAAGTATGGCAGGTCTCGTATATCTACTTTTTTAAATTTGTTTTTCTTCCTTTCCTCCACCTCTTCTTCCTCTTCTTTGATGATTGAATTTTATCTTCTGGATAACCAGAATCTCAAAGTTCTCTTTAAAAAAATTCTCTTCTTGAAGCATGGATTCTTGGAGCATGGGTGTCATTAATAATGATCGTAAACAGTTGACTCTCAGACACTGATATAGGATATATTTAACCTT